AGAGTCCCAATTTTGCCCCCAGCTCTTCTGCATCTAGGAGGCTCCTCAAGGCCACCTGGACTCCAGAGGATGCTGTTAATTGGTTAATTGGTTCCTGGTGGTGATGGGGTCCTGTCTCCTGACCTGCGTTCCCACAGCACCCCCTGGTGGTGAGCACCGCTTCACCAGCTTCTTTTCAACCAGGCCTCCTCCAGTAGTGTCTTGTCTGCCACTTGGCTTGGAGAATCCAGGAAAGCAGACATTTATTAATCCCTCCACACAAGGCAGGAGTTCCATTTGTTTACCTTTTCTATTTCTAAAGCAAAGTACTGCATGGTAGTGTCCCATCAATGTTTACAATCTTTATGTATAGACAAATCAGTTAGCATTTTTTTCAGATTTTTTTATTATTATAAAGGTGATGTACAGAGGGGTTACAGTTACAGATGTCAGGTAATGAATATATGTTTTTGGACAATGCCATCCCTTCCCTTGCTGTACCCTGGTTTTTTCCTCCCTCCCCCACCCATATGTTATATACAGTAGTTTCAACAGTGTCTACTGATACCACTGCTGTATTTATTCATCCTTTGTCCCTCCATTTCTGTGCCCCTATTGCCCTCCAAACAAGACAAAAAGAAAAAAAAAAAAACAACAAACAAGACAAAAAGAAAAAAAAAAAAACAACAAAGGAAAAGACCTTGTTTCCATTTCCTGGAGCTATGGGGCTGGGAAGGTGGCTCAGTGGCAGAGTGCTTGCCTCACATGCATGAGACCCTGGGTTTGACTCCTTAGCACCACATAAGCAGAAAAAGCCAGAAGTGGCACTGTGGCTCACACCTTGAGCTGAAAAGCTGAGGGACAGTGCCCAGGGCAAGTTCAAGCCCCACAACCAATAAAAAAAAAAGTAAATAAGTGGGAAACTCCATTTCCTGGAGCTCATTTTGATAAATATTAGGCATTGCACCTTTACGTTTCTCCCCTAAGAGTATCCTCTTTTAGTTTCACTGTGTGAATGCCTATAGTCCTGTATAATTTTATCATGCCCTTGTGTATTTCAGGTCTAGCTTCTGCATATGATAGAAAACATGTTCCATTTGTGTCTCTAAGTTTGACTTACCCCACTTACATGATTTGTTCTAGTTCATCCACTTTTCTGCAAATGACCTATTGTTCTTTTTAATACTGATTCCATTGTGTAAAAGTACCACATTTTTTGATCCACTCATCTATTATGGGGCATCTGGACTGTTTCCATAATTTGGCTATTGTGAATGGTGCAGCAATGAACATGGATGTACAGGTGTCTTTATCATATCCTGGCTTATGATGTTCTGGGTAAATACCAAGGCATGGTATGGCTGGGTTAAAAATAAATTTTTTTGCCAGTCCTGGGCTTGAATTCAGGGCCTGGGCACTGTCCCTGAGCTTCTTTTGCTCAAGGTTAGCACTCTATCACTTGAGCCACAGTGCCACTTCTGGCTTTTTCTGCTTACGTGGTACTGAGGAACAGAACTCAGGGTTTAGTGAATGCTAGGCAAGCACTCTACCACTAAGCCACATTCCCAGCCCTAAAAATTTTTAAACAAATACTTTCATTGGAAATAAAAATTGCAAAAATTAGGTTATGTGCATTTTTTTTTGACGGTCATGGGGCTTGAACTCTGGGCTTAGGCACTGTCCCTCAGCTCTTCAGCTCAAGGTGAGTACTCTACCACTTTAAGCCACGACACCACTTCCAGTTTTCTGGTGGTTTACTGGAGATAAGAGTTACATGGACTTTCTTGCCCGGGCTGGCTTTGAACTGTGATCCTCAGATCTCAGCCTCCTGAGCAGCTAGGATTACAGGCATGAGCTACCAGGGCAATACAGGTAAACAGAAAGAAAACCGGTTGGTACATAAGGCATCCAGATGAGGCTTCAGACCCATAGTTAATTTCACAAGGTAAAATTATTCTAAAAAGCTGTGCCTTGGAAGCGAGCTGTGGTTCAAGTGGTAGAGCGCCTGCCTGGAGCTGAAGAGCTCAGGGAAGTGCCCTGGTCGAGTTCAAGCCCTATGACGCGCGCGCGCACACACGCACACACGCGCACACACACACACACACACACACACACACACACACACACACACAGCTGTAGCTAATCTTAAATTCAAACAACATATTTAAATATATATGCTAAATGTGGCAACTCTATATCTTTAACTAGTTACACCTTAATTAATTATGTCCATACAGCCTTTTCCCCTTTATCTATAGTGTCATGGGGAAGAGGGAGTGGGAAACGGGGTGGTGCTGGGATTTGAACTCAGGGCCTAGATATTACTGCACAGGTGCTCTACCACTTTAGCCCCAGTCCCACATGTACAATTTTCCCCACAAGAGAGGGGTAAACTCCTTCATACTATTCAGTGCTCTTTTTTTCCAGTTTGAACACAGGTGCTTTACCACTTGATCCATGCCTCTGGGCCTTTTTGCTTTGGTTATTTTTGAGATAGGGTCTCAAGTGGTGCCCAGATAAGCCTAGCCTTCGACCCTCAATGCTTCCTGCTGAGCTGGGATGACAGCTTTTTCTGTGGAGATCAGGGTCTTGCAAACTCATTGGCTGGGCCTGCCTCAAACCACAATGCTCCTGATCTCAGTTTGTGAGGCTGGCACAAGCCTCTGCCCAGCTATTAAAGTGGGGTCTCACACCTTTTGCCAGGGCTGTCCTGGAACAGCAATCCTTCTGGTCTCCATCTCCTTGTAGCTAGGATTACCGGTGTGAGCTTCTGGTGCCCAGACATCCAGTGGCCTAGCTTTTCACACTGACATAAAGACATAGACATCTGGGGCTGGGAAGGTGGCTCAGTGGTAAGAGTGCTTGCCTCCCATGCATGAGGCCCTGGGTTTGATTCCTCAGCACCACATAAACAGAAAAAGTTGGAAGAGGCACTGTGGCTCAAGTGGTAGAGTGCTAGCCTTGAGCTGAAGAGCTGAGGGACAGCGCCCAGGCCCAGAGTTCAAGCCCCACAACAACAAAAACAAACAAACAAACATCTATCTACAGGTAACTGTTGCCTTCCTCCTCATCTTCCTCTTCCTCCTCCTCTCCAATTCCTTTTGTGCTACAACCAGCTGCCCTTCCTGTTCCTGGCTCTACCTGGGGGGGGGGGGGGGGGGGTTCTCATGCTGCTGGTGCTTGCGGCTCTCCTGGGAAGCCTCAGGAGAGGCGCTAGGGAAAGGCTCTGCTCAGGCACGGAGATTCCAGCCACATCCCTGGTACCAGCTCCATGGCTTTGAACGTATCCTCAAGTCACCTGGCCCAGCCTCCAGGGTGGTGACCTGGGTTAGAGATCCTAGTGCAGCTACTGAGACACTCTCCCTTCACCACGAGAGGGCAGAGTCTACACAGCAAGAACAGCCCTGGGCCATCACATACTAAAGCATCCAAAACCCTGTGCTCAGGGGGACCTGGGCCGGTGGCTCAGGCCTGTAATCCCAGCTACTTAGGAGACTGAGACGCAGACAATTGCATGTCAAAGGCAACTGAGCCAGGAGTTCATGAGACTGGATCTCAAATCAAGCAGCCAAATGGGGGAGGAAATCACCCCGTGGGACAGTTAAGCAGAAGAGGTCTCTGAAAGTCCTGTCGGGCTGTAAGTGAATGAGTGGTGCCTACTAGCCCCAACAGGGGAACGGGCAGGGCAGGGCAGGTCTGCTGGAGGAGTCCCGGGCCTCTGATCCTCTCCAACTGAAGCTGGTTTAAAAGGTTAAAGTCAACTATGTGCTGTGGCTCTCACCTATCTATAATCCCAGCTCCTCGGGAGGCTGAGATGCGGGGATCACAGCCTAAAGCCAGCCCAAAAGGCACCATTTTCCCACTGTGGGGGTCTCAGTGTCTGGAGCAGCCCTGGGCCCCTCGGGGCTCTTTTTGCTTACTCCATGGAGAAGGGGCAGCTGAGGAGTTTTCGTTTTCTGTCCTGTTTTTTGGTCAAGATCTTGGCTGTCACAGCAACTGTCCCTTCGCTGTTCGCCCAAGGCTGGCTCTCTACAGCTCGAGCCGTGCCTCCACATCCGACTCTTTTTTGCTAGTTAACTGGCAAGTCTGTAAAGAGTCTCACGGGCTTTCCTGCCTAGGCTGGCTTGGAACCACCATCCTCACAGCTCAGCCTCCTGAGTAGCTAGGATTACAGGCCCCACTCACACACCGTACAATTTGCCTTTGGAAAGCGGTGGAGGAAGGAGGGACCACGAGTGTTCCAACAGCTTCCCCGCGTTAGAAGCAAGCTCTCCGGGGAAGCGCGGGGCCCAGGCCCGGGGCGCAGAAGAGGTGAAGCGCCGGTGTATTGTGACATGATCCGGACGGCTTTCCCCTGGGCCGGCCGGGGCCCGGGACACTGGGACAAGCCGGCCAGCATGGAACCGGGGCCTGGGGTGGAGACTGCCCGGGCCTGGCGGGGGAGGCAGCCGCCGCGGCGGCTCGTGGAGCCCTGGTTCCAGGGCCGCGACCGGGTGCTGCTCGTCAACGAGTTCTGGAAGCGGGAAGATGGGGACGTGGCGGGGCCCAACGACCCCGAGCGAGACCCCGACCACCCCGGGCGGGACCCCCGGCGGGACCCGCGGCGGATCCCCAGCGATCGGCACACCGGGTCTCGGTCCTCCCTCGCCTCGGGCAGCGTCGGCGGCCCGCGGGGGCCCAAGCGCTCGGCGGCCGTCCTGACCGACAGCGCCCACAGCCCGATCGTCCGGTGCAGGCGCCCGGCGAAGAGGATGCGGGTCACGGAGGAGCCGGAGGGCACGGACTCGGAGGACTCGGAAGCCCCGTGGACGCCTCCCGGGTCCCCGGGCCCGGCGGTGACGGCGGAGCAGCCCGCGGAGGCGGGCACGCAGCTGATGCTGGTGCTGTGCGGCCCCGCGGCCCTGCGCGCGCATCAGTCCGGCCTGCGGCGCCTCCTGCGAGAGATGCGCGCGCAGAACGCGGGCCCGCCCGCCGCGCTGCTGGGCATCCTGGTGCAGCCCCGATCCGGAGAGGAGGCCGTGGCCCGCCGCCGCCTGGAGGGGCTGCTCTGCGACGTCTTCGGCCCCGGCGAGGTGCACACGGCCGTCTTCGGCCCCGGCCGGCCGCAGGGCGCCCTGGACATACAGCGCGCCTCCCGGCAGGTGCCCAGAACCCTCCGCATGGACCGCCAGACGCAGACGGATGGTGAGGGGCCGGGGGTGGCGGCGCGGGCGCGGGGGTCGCGAACCCGGGGATCCCGTGCCCTGGCCGTGACGCCCACCACCGCCCCAGTGACCAGAGGCCGAGGGCTCGGTACGGCTCGGCACGGCTCGGCGCAGGGGCGGAGCTAGCCTCGGAGCAATCCGATTGGTTAGTTCGTTGATGGCGTTGTCCAATGAGCTGGCTGGAAGGGGAAGCCCCGCCCTCCCGGGAGAGGAAGCCCCGGCCGGCCACGGGCCCTACCTGCAGCTTGCAGAGCGTGGTTTCCGGCGATTCAAAGTCCCGCCTTTGTGCGGGCCTGACGGGACTGTGGAGGACCCAGCGCCCACCCCACCCCAGACCCCGACCCCACAGCGGCCCCTCGCGCGGTCCCTTCCTCAGCCTGCTCCCTGGGCCTGTTACCCAGGGAACTCCAGTGGCCACAGGCGTGCCTATTGTGAGCCAGGCCCTGTGCCTGGCTTCACCTCCAGTCCTCACTCCACCCTCTGGGCAGCAGGCCAGCCGACCCCAAACCACGGAGGCCTCCCAGCCTTGGGCCGGGGCCTCCGCCCCTCTCCCCCCCTTCCCCACCCAGGGTCTCCCCTGAAGCTCTGCGCACCTCCTGCTTGCCGAAATCCCTCCCGAGGCTGAGGCTGAGGCAGTACTGGGGGGGGGGGGGGGGCGGTCATGGTTACAGAGGCTCTGCCGCCCTCCCCCAGTGCCCTCCTCTGGGCCCGAACCCCTCATGTGAGGGTGAAAGCCAATCTGGGACAAATGGTGATGTGTGCGCCCTGGGTGTCTGGGACAATTGCCAGAAAAGGGGGGGGGGCAGATAACCCTCACGACCTGACTTCACACCCCTTAGGCTTCTCACTCTCCTAACTCACTGCGGCACGCCTACTCTGAAAGCCCCCTCCCTGTGAGCCGGCCCGTGCTGCTCAGCCAAATCCAGAGAATCCTCCTCCATCTTAGAGCGCTGGTTCTTCCGGAGAACATCGATGGTCCTCACGCCCATCACTCACACACCTCCATCACACACACACACACACACACACACCTCGATCACACACCCACCACGCCTCCAGCCATCCTACATCACCACCTCCTGCACCTTCTCTTGATTCCTGCACACTGCCTGGAGCCCCGGGACATCGGCTCTCTTTGGTCTTCACAGCCTGGGGTTTGTGAATGAGAGTGACAACAGGCTAAAGTCACTCCAGCATCCAGACAGAATGTAATCTATGTGTCCAGGCATTCAGGAGACTCAAGAGGCGGAAAGACGGCTTCCAGGCGAGGTTCTCAAGAAAGGTTTTCTTGAGATCTCTTTGAGAGGGGTCTTGGCCATAAAGGGAAGGGTGGAGGAAAAGGAAGTGTATCCCTCAGGAGCCCTGGTGGCCACAGGCAGCAGTGATGACTGGTAAGAGTTCTGGACAAGAACCCCTGTGCCATTCTAAGACAAGCTTTTGTTCCTTGAAGGCCCCTCCCTGCTTCCAGGAACCATCCAGGCTAAGGAACCACTTAAATCTCTGTAGAAAGTTCTCTGAGATTCCTCCACCTGTCTCCTGAGGGGATGAGGCATCCTTCGGATGAAATGGAAGCTCAGGACTCCCAGGAAACTCTTCCTGTGAGCACCTGGTTCTTGAAACCAGTGATTCTCAACCAAGGGGGATTTTAACAGCCCTTGTATCTCCCTGGGGTGTTTAGCCATGTCTGGGAACATTCTGGATTGTCCTGGAGAGGCCCTGTGGGTCAAGGCCAGAGAAGCTGCTCTCATTCCTATTAAGTCACAGGCAGGTTTCCCATTTCACATTATGTGAAACATTATCCCACAATGCTAGAAGGGCTGAGACTGAGAAGCCTGAACCACGGTCAAAAAGGTCAGAGGTGTTCTAGACCTGTCTGCTAAGTCCCAGGGAAGACACTGGCCGCAGTTCCCAGCCTCCCCCCTCCCCTTGAGCCCCTGCCCCTTGCTCTGGGCTTCAGGGTACTGACAGGGCATGGACAGGTCTTGTAGATTCAAGTGTGAACCAAATGCAATCTTACACAATTGATCCAGTCTCCCCTCATGCTTTTGAGAGGTGGGGTGCTTGTACTGGGACTTGAACTCAGAGCCTCACATTCTTACTTGGCTTTTTCTACTCAAGGGTGGTGCTCTACCACTTGACCCACACCTCAACTTCTGGCTTTCTTTTGCTGGTTCATTAAAGATAAGAATCTCACAGATTTTTCTGCCCCAGTTGGCTCCGAACCTCAGATCTCAGCCTCCTGGGTAGGTAGAAAGACAGGTACAAGCCACTGACACTTTTAAATTTACATTCAAAGGATTTTTAGCTCATTTACCATTTTAATTCATTGTTTTACAATCTTTTTCTGATTCCTTATTGCCTTTGGGGAGAGGGGGTGTTCATGAAAAGAAAGAATCCTAAACTGAAATTAGCCCTGTCCATGCTTCCAACTAGCTGTGTGACCTCAGGAAGGTAACTGAACGTCTCTGAATCTTCATATCTATAAAGAAACTGTCTAATTTTTAAGAGTCTTCACAGGCTGTGGAAGCCTGAAAACAGGTCCTGCACTTTCAAAGTTACACTTAGCTGGGCCGGGGGATGGGGGGAGATAGGGGGCTTCTTTGAGCCTTCTTAGCCAGCTAGCTCAGCCTTGAAGCTTCTCTCTGGAACAGATTTCCAGGCACAGGAAGGGTAGTGCACTCACCTTCCCAGCGACACATTCCTGGTAGAAGGTCTGTCTGTACATGGCAATGCTTTTTGTTGCCACATGGGATGTTTAGGCTGTCTTTTTTAAATACTTTCCCCTCTTCTGTCCTAAAACGAAAACCACACGGTTCATTTGTTAGAGAAAAAGTCACAGTCACCAAATGTGGGGCACAGAAGATCATCAGTAATTTTTTTTTGTTTGCAGCTGGTATATTGCAGGGAGAATTCTATCCCCAACAAGAGGATGAGCAAAATCAGGACATTCCCCCTCCCCGGGTCCCCTCCTACAGTAGGAGATGCGGGCTGTAAAGGAAGCAGAAGTTTCTCTGAGATGCTGGAACGCTGTAGGCCAGGGAAGCCAAAACCCTCCAAGAAGCGGCAAGTTTTCTGGAAAGTTAACCTGCAGCTTACTAAAGAGGTCCTGAGAGAAGCGATTGTGGGTTTGGTTTCGAACATGGAAGTCAGCAAGTTGAGGGTCTTAGAATAAAACAGGGAGCTCACACGAACCAGGACTGCACCGGCAGAAAGGGGCCTGAAGGTGGCGCTCTAGTCACAGACTCCTCCGGATACAGGTGTCACAGGCCCCAGCGGGCTTAAGCCAGGCCTTCCACACAAGCAGTTAGGCGCTGCCCCTCTGGCCATCCGTCCTGGCATTGCTAATTCCCCCAGGCTTGACGATGCCCACCAAGAAGATTGTCCCAGAGCCCCTGGGCCGGGGGGCTTATCTGGCTTTTGTGACCTCACAGGAGGTGTGGCTGACTGTTCTCTGTAGGCTCTGGATCCAGTTAAAGACCCAGAGCCCATACTTCTGGGACAGAGGGCGCTGGGCCTCCCGAGGAGGGAGCCAGGAAATAAGACGGCTCATGTAGGTTCACGTTCAGACTGGGAGGACCCACCATGAAGAAGGTCAAGAAGAAAAAGGCCACAGCCAGACGTCGCCGGGACTCCACCTCTCCACAGGCGAGCTCTGACTCCTCGCATCAGCCCAGCTCTGAAGCTGCCCAGACTTGCCCCGAGCCCATCCTGCAGCAACCTTGCCCGCCACAGTCTCACCTCGACAGCAGCCCCCCGATGGGCAGATCTCAACCCAACACTCAAGACTCCATGCCCCAAGCTCTTCCAGCTCCTGAACCCCGCCTCTCCACTCGGTGCCTCTTAAGCTCAAAGGCTAATTCCTCAGCGGTTCCACCATTCTGGAAAGCAGGTGGGCAGCCTTCTAGAGCTGAAGCTCTTGTAGGCTTCCTTGCATTAGAGCCATGGAGATGTGCTTTTGGAAGGTGTAGGGGGTTATTATTTTTTACTTTAACTCGAGCTACTAGGAGTCCTGAATTTCACTGAAGACAGCCATGTGTGCAAACTAACATGAAACTGGACTCCCCGATAATACTGTCTCATTGGTGGGAGACAGGAAATGTCGGGTGACTGCTAAAAGTTTAAAACAAAAGGATGCGTTAATGAGTATACGGTTTCGAAGGGAGGTGATGGTATTGTTTTATCCTGTATCTTCATGGCTGGGCTCTAAAAGATGCCTAATATACCAGTCCAAAAAAGACAGTATGGGGTGATAGGAAGAGGAGGCAGGACCGGTAAGAATCACTGGGTATGAGATGGATTGCTCAGGGAGCTGAGGATGCCTGTCTGTAGCTGGAGATGGGGGTGGAGATTGCCATGTTGTCCCAGCGGTCTGACGGCCCATGGACAGGATATGCAGATAACATATAGTATTTCCAGCTACATTTAATTAGTTAAATAATTAATCATTGTGGCAATGCTGAGACTTGAATTCAGGGCCTTGAGCTCTCACTTGGATTTTTTGCTCAAGGCTAGTGCTCTACCACATGAGCCACAGTGCCATGTCCGCCATTTTGATAGCTAAGAATCTGATGGACTCTTCTGCTTAAGGCTGTTTTCAAACCTCAGTCCTCAGATCTCAGCATCGTAAGTAGCTAAGATTACAGTGGTAAGCCACCAGCACCTGGTTTCCCAGCTAAATTTTAATTTTATTAATTCCTTTATTATTTTGCCAGACCTGGGCTCAAACTCAAGGCCTGGGCATTGTCCCTGAGCTTCTTTTGCTCCAGGCTCGCATTCTGCCATTTGAGCCACAGTTCTACATCCAGCTTTTTTGGTAATTTATTGGAGAGAAGAGTCTCACAGACTTTCCTGCTGTGGCTCACATTGAACTGTGATCCTCAGATCTCACCTCCTGAATAAAAAGGATTACAGACATGAGCCACCAGCACCCAGCTAAATTAGAATTTGACATAAACAATTTTTTTTATGTATAATTTTTTTTTGGTCGGTCGTGGGGCTTGAGCTCTGGGCCTGGGCAACATTTTTTTTTAGTATATGTATCCTGAATATTGCGTGGGCATCCTGCATTTTTATTTGTTAAATTGCCCACCTTTCCTAGGGAAGAACTAGACGCAGACAGATAACTGCTCAACATTGACTACTCTGCAGGAGTAACTCCATCTAAAATGCAATGGCTGTCTAGGAAATGCGGCCTCATGCCCTTGGGTAGCCCAAGAGAGTCTGAATAAGTCTGGAACTATGTGAGGGTATTTGGGGCAGAGTTCAAGAAGTGGGGGGAGGAGTTGGTAATAACCAACTATTTTTTTCATCAAGCCACATGTATTGGGTTCCCAGTACTCAGCCTAACCATCTCAGCTCACCTTACCTGAAAGCCCAGTAGAGACCAATCTCCTGTCTGGGGGAAACCAGATTCATGGAAGTCAAATGATTAGCTCTGGATCGGGGCCTGGTAGTGCTGCAGGGAACACAGCCTTTCCATTCCAGGGAGCCTAGAGGTCTCCCCAAGAGGAAGCATCCTTCTCTGGGCTCTGCATCTGCCAATAACAGACTCAGGGGCCCTGAGCAGATCAGGCTCCCTGGGCCACAGAGCTCCCTCTGGGCTGCTGTGGGCACTAAACCTAAGAGATTGCTGTGAAGGAGTTTCCATGGCCATAGACCCATGCGTCCTTGATATGTGGTACTATTGTGGTGGTATGTTGTGTGGAGTATGAGCATCAACCACAGAGATGAGCATGTCTGGATTACGGCCTTCAGAACCAGTGTCTAGACAAAGTGAAATTCTTCATTCCTAAATCGTGTGTGTGTGTGTGTGTGTGTGTGTGTGTGTGTGTGTGCGCGCGCGCGCGCGCGTGTGTGCGCGCATGCGCGCCAGTACTTGGACTTGAACTCAGGGCCTCTCAATTTTGCTTGGCTTTTCCCACTCAAAGCTGATGCTCTACTTCATGAGCCACAGCTCTACTTCTGGTTAAATTGGAGATAAGAGTATCTGGGCTGGTCTCAAACCATGATCCTTAGATCTCAGCCTCCTAGGATTACAGGCATGAGCCATCAGCACTGAGCTTTATTCCTAAGTCTTTTAATGACTGTATATAACTCGCTGCCGTCAAAGAAAACTTTGGCTAATTGAGGCCACAAGTGGTAGAGTGCCAGCCTTGAGTGAAAAAGCTAAGGGACAGAGCCCAGGTCTTGTGTTCAATCCACAGTACCAGAAATAAATAACTAAAGGCAAACCTGCAGTTGCCTTCTGAGAGCAACGTGGCTGTGGGTGGAGGCGTCTAGAAGAAACCTCCAGGCTGTCCCCTGCCCTCAGGAGGCAGGTACATCCTTCAATTCTCCTTTTCTGTCCACCAGGGCCTCTGACCTATGCGGGCCTGCGCTCCTGCTCCTGCTCCACCTGCCCGGGCAGCTCGGCTTGCTGGCGTCGCCTGGGGCTGTGCCACAGCCGCATCTTCGATGTCCTTCTTCCTCGGGACTGTCAGGCCATACCAGAGAGCGGATTCCCAAACCTCCTCACCTTCTACAGGTTCCCGGGGCGGGCGGGTGCGCAGCGGCAGGTGCACAGTTGCCCAGGGCCAATCGCCATCCTCAGGCCTTGTTAGCAGTCAGGTGTGACCCCTGCAGGATTCACAGGCCAAAAGAGCCCTCAGAGATACCACTTCTTGGGGGTGGGGGAGTGACAGACAGGGCCTCTGTGTCCCAACCCCTGCCATCTTCTCTTTCCTTTCTTTCTTTCTTTTTTGTCATGGGGCTTGAACTCTGGGCTTGGGCGCTGTCCTTGTGCTCTTCAGCTCAAGACGAGTGCTCTACCTCTTGAGACACAGCACCACTTCCGGTTTTCTAGTGGTTTATTGGAGATAAGAGTCTCACGAACTTTCCTGCCCGGGCTGGCTTTAAACCACGATCCTCAGATCTCAGCCTCCTGAGTAGCCAGGATGACAGGCGTGAGCCACCAGCGCCCGGTTTCTTTCCTTTCTTTTTGAGAATGAGAAGCCTTCTCTTCTTCACAGCCTTTCATAACTTCAGTGTCATCCCATTGCGGGTGGGGGGGGCCTCAGCTTGGTGACCTGTGCATAGCTCCCCTGGACTTAGCGATAAACAGTCACTCCAGCTGGGCGCTGGTGGCTCGCGCCTGTAATCCTAGATGTTCAGGAGGCTGAGATCTGAGGATCATAGTTCAAAGACAGCCCAAGCAGAAAAGTCTGTGAGATTCTCATTACCAATTAACCAGCAAAAAGCCAGCAGTAGACTATGGCCCAAGTGGTAGAGCACTAGACTTGAGCAGAAAAAGCCAAATAAGAGCACAAGGCTGCGATTTGAAGCCTGTGGGTTCATCGTAGCCCATCATCTCTATCCAGTAATAGCAAGACCTGCTCCCCGTTACCCTGCGCCCCGCGCCCCCCCACACACACACAAGGGTCATGTACCTGGTCTGTTAGTGGCGGCCCCTTCTGGCATCTGCCCTTCTGTCCCTCTGCCACAAAGCTATCAGGAGAAATGCTTGTCACTGTCCCTCCTGAGGGTACCCCTGTCCCTGTAGGAGACAGGCTGAAGATTCCCCCATTCTTGAAAGGATGCTACGTGGTAGGCATGAGCTAGGAGAGGGGACTCCATTCCTCAAGTGAGCAGCCCCACAAATCTCCATGGAGCTCCCCACCCCAATACCTGGGAATTTTGCATCCCTGACCCAGATAGCACCCCATTCTCCTCATCTTCTTCCAAGCCCCTCTCCTACCTGGTCCCTCTCCCAATCATACTCGAGATACTCATCTCTCCCAGGCCTCAATCCTAGCTACTCAGGAGGCTGAGATCTGGGGGTCCCAATTCAGCGCCAGCTCAGGCAGTCAAGTTTGTGAGACTTTTATCTCTAATTAACCAGCAAAAATCCAGAAGTGGAGCTGTGGCTCAAGTGGTATAGAGTGCCAGCCTTGAGCAAAACAAAGCCAAGTGAGAGCATGAGGCCTCGAGTTCAAGAGAGACAGACAGACACAGAAACAGAGACAGAGAGATGAACCGATATGGAAGTGGGATTTGGACATACCAGAACCAAAAATCCCTCTACAACCCGACAAGTCCCATCCAGAAAGGACCGGCACACCGCTGGTCACCACTGACTTCCCTCCCGCCCTTCCTGTGTTTCTCCACCTGCAGCCAGATGGTGTCATGGGACCCGATGAGCTAAAGCCAACCTGTGCTACCAGGGAAACGAACTCTGCATAGGACAGTGGAGGCTCTCCAGGAAATCAGAGCAGGGTCTTTCCCTCCCATGTGTCTGCCTGATGAGTTAAGCCACGTGCATTTAGAGACAAGGCCAGAAGTGCGGTGTCCAGAAAGGATTACAGGAGTTTCAGAAAAGGATGATGCTGCAACTACATGGGTGGTCTGGAGTGGGGGGGCAGTGTGTGAGCTGAGTATAAAAGGACCCTGGGATTCTCTACAGTGTAAAATGAGAAGGAAAGGAATTATGGGTGGATAAAAGGCAAAAACTAGACTCAGAATTGGAAAGGGGAGAGGGTGAAGATCCAGTCTGCCCAGGATAAACCTGAATTCAGGCACCAGTGGCTCACATCTGTAATCCTTGTTACTCAGAATGCTGAGGTCTGAGGAGCAAAGCTAGCCAAAGCAGGAAAGTCCATGAAAGTCTTTATCTCCAATTAACCAGCAAAAAGCTGGGTATGGAGGTTTGGCTTAAGTGAGAAAACACCAGTCTTGCACAAAAAGATAAGGGAGAGCACCCCGGCCCTGAGTTCAAATCCCAATACCAACACACACACACACACACACACACACACACACACTTATAGTATGAATTATGTGCAATATAAGCACATGCTTCTTGGATTCTCAATGCATACGATGCTGGTTTTTGGTGTAATCTACACATTCATATTAAATAAGAATCCCTACTTTAACAGGCTTTTTTAGCAAAATAGCTCATGCTCTTTTTGAATGCCTTCCTTGCTGTTCTCAATCGGGTGGTGTGCTTTTCCTGTCTTTAACATGCTATCTCCAAAATGGAGTTATCAACCTGCCTCAGAGAGTTGTTGTGAGGACTGGAGAAGACTTTGGGTGCCAGGTGTTTGGCTCCAAGCCTGTCACAATGTCGCCGCCATGTCACTTTCATGACCTGGTCCCCCTCAGGGCTGCAGAGTCCCAGACCAGCTCATCCTCTGGCCTCTGGGGTCTTCCAGCCAGTATTTGTGGGTTGGGGCAGGGTCAGGAACTGTTCTCTTAACGAGCAAGAAGGGATCTGACCAACCCAGCCTGAGGGGACCCTGTATGTTCAGCTCTCTCCAGCCTATGGAGGGAAAGCTCAACTTCCCAATCCACGCATCCTGCCTTGACTTACAGAAGACCCTCCGGAAAATCCCCTGGACGCTATCCACGTGCTCCAAACCCTTGGGACTGTTGCTGTAGCACTTGGGGTCCTGGGAGCTGCATATTACATCACTGAATCCTAAAGAAGAATACCCCAGGCCCAAGCCTGGCAGGTACGGAGCATCCCTTGTCCCTCTCTGAATGGAGCTGTCTTTGAAGGGAAAGCGCCAGAGCCTGGTGTCTCATCCTGGGCTAAGGGTGGGCTGGCCTGGCTCCTTCAGGCAGCCCTGCATAACTCTCCCATGTCAGGACCATCCAAACCAAGCCCCTCCCCGCTCCCTGTCCCCCAGCCTGACCTGGCTCCTCCACGCATGTGCACTGGCCAGGAGAAGGGGGGGGAGGAGAGGGAGGAGTGGCAGGGAAAGAGGTTCTTCCCCATCTCAGAACTGCCTGGAAGCTTATCTGATGTTTACTATTCCGGTCCTATCTATCCTCGATGGCATGCTCCACCCCCACCACCCCAGCTCCAGCCATTTCCTCCGCATTCTCCATCATACTCCAGTCTGTTCCATGCTGTGCTGCAAATGACCAGTGGTAAGTGCAGAATCTGTACCCCAAAGGGGGGTGGGGGCGGGGGTTACAGGGCTATCTTCCATCCTCTCTTGTCTCAACCTAAGTACACAGCCTAAAGGGTTGGGTGCTGTCGGTAGAATGGGAGAGGAGGTAAGGGGGGCGGGGGAAGAGCAGAGGCTGTCACTCAGGGCTAAGGCCCCCTTGCAACCCCACAAAGCCCTGGAGCATCATCTGCACCTAGAGACCGAGGCTTGCAAACAGCCCTAGGCTTAAGAGAGGAGGTAGAGGATGGATGTCATTGTGGAAAAAACTACTTGGAGAAAGAGGTCAGCTCTAGACTGTCAGAGACCAGAATAGACAATTCACAAGATCCCAAGACCTTGGTCTAGAAAAAGGGGGCGGTGGATGTCATCACTGCCGTGACCATGCTGGAGGGGGGGGGGGGGGTGAGGGAGGCGTGTCAGCCTGCCACGGCCCTCCACTGCACACAGAACTGGACAAGAAGCAGTCACCATTAGCGGAAGGCAATGTGTCACATCTCTCAAAAGCCAAATCCAGAAACTAGCTCCAGTGAGAGCTCAGCATCCTCCCCAGCGTCTCCCTGTCTGTGCAAAGGGTATTTGTGGACTAGCATTAGAGTATCAGCGGTCCTCAGGAAGCATGGCAGTGAAGAGCCTCCACTTCCCTATCTGTAAATAAGGAAAGCAATGGCGCTCCCTTCTTGGGCTTCTTGGAGTGGTGAAGGACTCCAGCACAGCATGTGGCCGACAGGTCTTGTCTCCTGTCACTGTGGTGGCTGGAAAGGTGCTGGCCTTAGAATTCAAGCTAGACAGTTCCTGTCTAGTCTGTGCTGTCTATGAGTGGGCATTAGGGATTCATTCTTCTGTGACAGTGGCGTCGTCTTTAGACAAATGGGTCAAAACCCCACCAAGGGCGACAGTTGTGGGTATTGAATACGCGACGTGCAAGCCAGGCACTGGTGGCTCACGCCTGTAATCCTAGCTACTCAGGAGGCTGAGATAGGAGGATCACAATTCAAAGCCAGCCTGGGCAGGAAAAATCTGTGAGACTTACTTATCTCTAGTTAACCACTCAAAAGCCAGAAATGGAGCTGTGGTTCCAAATGGTAGAGGGCCAGCTAGGAGTGAAAAGGCCAAGTGAGTAGGAGGCCTGAGTTCAAGCCCCAATACCAGTACAGGGGGAAAAAAAAAGACAAACAGTAAATCCAAATATTCTGAAAACAAAATATCATAGAACCTTAGCGGACGTGAGACACTGCCCTCCATGTTCCGAATACCAAGACAGGTTCCAATCTGGGAGTCCCTCCTCCCCCCCTACCAGAAGATGGAATACAAGGGGACAGAAATCCACCCCTCCTCCTGAGATCTAGTGCAATGACCCATACCACTTAGGCATCTCAGTGTCAAGCAAGGGTTTTGTCCCACCCACTGTAGGGTTCATACATCCTGAGCCCTAAGGTGGAGGAATGGAGGAGGGAGAATAATTATTGGAGAAGGAGGGGAAGGGAAAGGAACCGAGGGAAAGGGGCAGTGGAAAGAGTGGCAGCTGATGCTGGGCTTAGAGTTGTTCCTCTGGATTCTGCCCCTCTCCCCCTCCCCATTGCTAAGACCCTGCAAGTCCTCACAGGTGATAAAATCAGCCTTCCCACCCACTGATCTGTGTTCACTGCGGGTCAAGTGGCGGCCTGTGCAGTTGTGCAGTATCACAGCTCTCCTCCAGGAGTGACTCCCCTTCCTCAGGGACCGCCTTTAGCCCAGGGGTTGCTTGGTTACTGGCTGCTTCCCTAGATACAGAGTTAGGAAAGAGGGACCCCTTCTCCCCCCTCCACTGTTCCTGTCCCCAGCATTCCTGTGGTGCAGCTTAGAGAGAGGGAGAGAGGCTGGACCGGCTTCTTTCGAGGCCCACGTGCTCACTGCTGGCCAGAGAATGGTGGGATCAATAGCAGGAGCCATTCAGCTGCGTGAGACCTGTTTCTGTTTGATTTTTCGGTTGGTTGGTTGGTGACATCGGGGTTTGAACTCACAGCCTTGCACTTGCTAGGGAGGCACTCCATTACTGAGCCACGCCTCCTGACCTGTTTACCGTTTTTGAGATAGGGTCTAGTTATGTTGCCCAAGCTGGCCTGGAACTCTCTCAATCCTCCGGCCTCTCCTTCCTGAATGATGGGATTACAGGTGTGCACCACCATGTTTAGCTTTCTGGAATGTTTTCTTTTTTTCTCCATTGCAAAATACTTTAATAGGTTGTCAAATATACAGTTATTAGAATTATCTAAGTATCACTTGTAAAAATTGTTATATCAAAGCCGGGCACTGGTGGCTCATGCCTGTAATCCTAGCTACTCAGGAGGCTGAAATCTGAGGCTCACGGTTCAAAGCCAGCCCAGACAGGAAAGTCCATGAGACTCTTATCTCCAATTAACCACCAGAAAACTGGAAGTGGAGCTGTGGCTCAAGTGGTAGAGCACTCATCTTGAGCTGAAGAGCTGAGGGTCAGCGCCCAGGCCCCAGAGTTCAAGACCCATGACCGACCAAAAAAAAAAAAAGTTATATCACATTAGATGATTCTATAAAATAAAAACATAAATCATACACTGACAATAACCCCTGCAGTCCAAGAATACCCCCCCATCAATACTACAAATTACAATTAAGAAAACTGAAGACATTAGACATGTAAACAGAAGTAACTGACTGAATGCATTCATTCATCAAGTACAAGATATTTAGCACTGCTGCTTAAAGTCACTAATAACACAGTTTCAGATACAAGTTTATAAAACTTGGAGTACAGTCTCCATAGTAATGTGTATTCATTTGTATGTAAGACCATTTCACCTCAAGGAATCGAACCCAGGGCCTCATGCATACAAGACAAGCGCTCTACCACTGAGCCACCTTCCCAGCCCTTTCACCTCAAAATTCTTGTTTTTTTGTTTTGTTTTTGTTCTTTTGTCAGTTGTGGAGCTTGAACTCTGGGCCTGGGCGCTGTCCCTCAACTCTTCATCTCAAAGCTAGTGCTCTACCATTTGAGCCACAGCGCCACTTCCAGTTTTCTGATGATTTATTGTAGACAAGAGTCTCATGGATTTTCCTGCTGACTCTGCCTTTGAATCACGATCCTCAGGTCTCAGCCTCCTTAGTAGCTAGGATTACAGGTCTGAGCCACTGGTGCCAGACTTCAAAATTCTGTTATTTATTTATTTATTTTGTGCTGGACCTAGCGCTTGAACTCAGAGTATGGGCACTGTCCCTGAGCTTTAGTGCTCAAGACTAGTGCTCTACCCACCACTTTGAGCCACAGCTCAGCTTCCGATTTTGTGAGTGGTTAATTGATGGGCTTTCCTGCCTAGTCTGGCTTTGAACCTCAAGCATCAGATTTCAGCCTCTTGCATAGCGAGGATTACAGGTGGGAGCCACCAGCGCCCAGCTTGAGCTATGTTATAACTGAGCTTAGAAGCCCCCGGGCCTTCCAGGGTCACCTCATCTAGCACAGCTGTGGAGTCGTGATGGCCCCGAGGGGTCAGCCCCGCATGTCCCTCAGCGCCACTGTGGGCCTGAGGGACTAGATGGACTTTCTGAGAATCCGGATGTTTTAGTCATAATTAAGACAAATCTTTGCAAAGGGCAGCAAGGTCCTGAAGTTTGGGGCATGACTCAGCTTCTCCAGCTTTGGAGTAGGGATGGACTGCTGCCTAATGTCAGAAATGCCTGGAAACGGGAGCACTTTAACCCAGTCTGGATCACCCCTAGCGCTGGAGCTCTGGAGTAGCCTCTCCAGCCAAACCAGAAGCGGGCAGGGGCTCCTGCCACCAGTGAGACGTGAGTCTACTTCTGGCTTTTTCTGCTTATGTGGTGCTGAGGATTCGAACCCAGGGCCTTATGCATGCAAGGCAAGCACTCTACCACCAAGCCACCTTCCCAGCCCCAATTGGAGATATTAAGTTTTTTGGCTATTCTTTCCTCTAGGTCTAAAAAAGAGGTTTTTCTGCATCCCCAGGAAGCCTGATCCTTGGGTTCCTTTTTCATTTCATCCTGTAGTGACCCAAGGTGACAGTTAGCTGCTGAGTTTAGTCTGGGTGACTCTGACGCTTGTTATATCCTTTGTCTAACAAGTTGTTCCCAAGCTAGGTCTTGAACCCCTCTTCCCCTGGAACATCTGTACTGTGTGTACAAGTCCAGCAGACCCTTTCCCCACTCTCCATGGTCTCCTACAGTGTTGCCCTTCCTTTGGGACACGCAGTACAGCTTACCGGAGGCTTCGCAACCCCCATAACAGAGTCCGCTGGCAGACACTGAACTGTCTGGCGGTTCCTATGCGCTTCTGTATAGCAGTGGGTACCTGGGGGACACCCTGCAAATGCTCTCTGGAAAGTTAAGCACCCAGGTTCAAAGGAGGGCAGGAACATGCCCCATGCCCCCTCTCCTGCCCGGTGTAGATTAGTCAGTTCTGGAGTGAGTAAAGCAGGCTCCAAGGTCTCTGGAGGCTCTGGAGGTTCCTGGGGCTGGCTTTACTCGGCTGTGGTGGGGGTAGACAGAACAATGATATAAGAGCCCCTCTAATGGGGTTCTAGTGATTGAACATTCCATTCCCTTACCAGTTAGATGGTGTCCTGTGGTTTATAAGGGGGGAGGGGGCGGGTGACAGGCTAGTGGGGAGTCTCCCCTTCTTGCTGCTAGGGTCTCCAGTTTGGGGATAAGATGTCCCAGTTGGTCCAATTCCATGTTGAGAGTGGGGACTGACAAACCAGTTGAGATGGCTCACACCTGTAATCCTACAGCTACTCAGGAGGTGAGATCTGTGGATCACAGTTCAAAGCCAGCCCAGGCTGGAAAGTCAGTGAGACTGTAGTTTCCCATTAGCTACCACAAAAAGCCAGAAGTAGAGCTGTGGCTCAAGTGATAGAGC